ATAAGTGAGAGGTGATAGGGAAGGAGGAGGAGGAGGAGGAGGAGGAGGAGGAGGAGGAAGAAGAGTGACGTTGATAATGAACGAGGAGATGATAGTAAGGAGGGAGGAGGGAGGAGGGAGGAGGGAGGAGGGAGGAGCTGGTTGACCGTCTTAGTGCACTCACAAACTTCTTTGTCGAACATCCCAGGAAAGTCGATGACGAGCTGCGTCAGGTTGGTTGCGCGCTCGAGGGAGGGGCGAGCTGCCTTTTGCCTCGCAAGAAACTTCGATCTCTTGTTCCTCACAGCAGAGACCGAACGAGATGGCGAGCTGAAGCGAGCACATGAGTCTTGCGGAATGGGGAAAGTGCAGGAGGAGGCGGGGGCAGAGAGTGAGATGGTAATGGAGGAGAAGTAAGCAAAGAGAAATTCAGGAGCATTGAGGATGGTGGTTGGGGAGACCACGGAACAGCAGGCGAGGAACGAACTGCTGCAGAAAAGACGGAGGACAGTGCGGGAGCAGCGAGAGGAGAGTGAGGAGAAAAGGAGAGAGCGCAGGTGCTCAGACAGAACCTGAACTTGGGTCCTGATGGGATCGGATACAAGCGCTCGTAGAAAGGGGTGTGCTTGGAGGAGGAGGCGGCGGTTGAAGGCAGCTGGGAGCTGTTCAAGGTGTCTCGAGAGGAGGAGATGAAGGGCATCTCGAAGATGAGCTGCTTCTTTGCCTCGTCCTAAGGACGATGAGTGAGCACGAAGTGGTCCAGCAGGTGATCAGTGCAACGGGGTGCGGCAGTGAGGGGGCGGGCGGAGGGGCGAAAGCAGCAGGAGAGACGGAGCACGAGCGGGAAAGGATGTAGGTGTAACCGACAGGCGACCCTGCACCAGAGCAAGCAGAGGAAAGCGAGCGAGGGGGAGGAAAGGGCAGGGCAGAGGTAGCGGGCGTACCAGGTCGGATCGAGGGAGGGGCTGGAAGGCAAGGTCAGAATCGCGACTGGACGGGGTGAAGTTGTTGATAGACCACCTGTAGCGAGTCAGCGAAGGAAGGAAGAGGTAAGTTGTGCTCGCACTCACCATTTCTTCCGCTGCTGACTCCTGACCTTTTGGTTCGAGTGCCTATACACATCCCATCCTTGAATGGCATCGTCCAAGGTGTTCTGAGCAACTCTCAGCTTTCGGCCCTCACCCCAACAAGTTCATCTCACGTTCTTGTTGAGCATTGAAGCCAGGACTTGAGGGTCAATCATCGGCTCAAACTGAGACTGAGCTGACCTGGCAGACGCTGGCCTTGTCCTTCCTTTCCTCGGCGTCTGGTAGTTGACCCTGCTCGTGGCAGCACCATTCACCCTCGCGCTGGCAGGTCGCGATCTTGTCAGGAAGGGGACGTTCAAGTCCAAGATTAGCCGCTCATCTTCTTCATCCATGCTGTCGTGCACAACATGGGGCATGTTCTTGTCACCTTTGTTGTTGTTCATCTATCAACTGTCATCGCACCATGGCGCACTGTCTGGCAAGGACAGGGGGTCATTCAAATGTCAATATACACAAGGGAAGCTATTCGGATTGGCAGGATATTTTTTTTGAGCCTGTAAGGATCTCTTTCTACCCAATCCCTTAATTCATTCATTCTTCAACCATTCCCCTCGCACTCATCACCTGGGCCTAACGATCTCAACCTTGCAACAACAGCCTATCCTGCGATCTTTCTCATCATGACAGAGTCTTCATCCATGATCATAATGCCTTCACACTGCCACTCATCAACATATGTCATTCCGGCGGAGAGTCACTGTTCAGTGACTAGCTATCATAGCAGGTTGCCGCTCGGCCGTAGCACAACTCATTCTGAGGAGTCTCTATATACCATCTGGTTCCCGCCATGGCAGTCACAGTCAGCCCTACGTTCAATGTCAGTTGTACGCCTGCCTGTCAACCCGGGTGACCTGTCGGCAGTATCCGTTTACTCAAAGTTAAGTTAAAAATCAGTACGACTCTTGAAGCATACAGTGCCGGCGGGCCCGGCGCCGGGCCATCGGAGGCTCGGACCCGGCCGGGCCCGGGGTCCGATTCTCTTAGGGTCCTTATAACCACCCTCCACCCCCCAGCACAAGGACCGTCACGGTTTCGGACCCGGGGTACTAGCCGGGAAGGTTTTTCTGTTCCTGTACCAACATCTGAGGCGAGCTCATGTCCGTGGTCAGCAACGTGAACGGGGCGACCTAGTTACTCCTGAGGTCCTAGGAAGTATCGTAGGAAGAGGGTTTAAGAAGGGGGCCGTGAGGGGTGCTCTCTCTTTTGGGTGGGTAATGACAATGATACCGAACAAAATTACCTGTATGGTAGGGGTACTTACTATATAATTGAGGGGTTCAAAACAATAATAGGGGGTAACACTAACTTTGTTGATTCTTGGGGAGGGTGGGTACCAACCATATCTTGGTGGGTCAAGAGACCCGTATTGGGCCTGTCTCCCTAGCCGAATATTCAAAATTATTTGAAATATGTTGATTATTTTTCAAAATTACACAAACATCAATTTCCTGAAATCTGGGAGCACTTGAGTCAAATCTCACTAGCTGTGTGGCACCTCAGGCATGTCACCAATTATTTCAGCATTAGGAAAAATGTTTCACATATCCCTAATTTTGAAGTTATATTAAGATCAATTGCACAGGTAGGGTGGTCCAATTTTAGATGATTGTTTGAAAATCTCAATGTCAGTAAGAGGGGGGCACTCGACAAAGGGTGGAGGGTGCGAAAATGGGGTAGTCTCGGACTTTACCAGGGGTAGCTGTATTGGATTTTTCAATTGCAGGGGGTGATACATAAACCACCGGTTCTTTAGAGTGTTTATAAAGGGGTTTGAGGGGTAGACATTAAAGTGTTTTTTTGGTTGAACCCTGGAATGATAAGAGGCGGAATGATTTGGGGGGTGGGTGGTAGACTAAGGAGTCAGGGGTGGGTTCCCGAGCACAAAAGGTAGTAGTAGTTGAACACGATGTCGGTGTAGTGGGAACGGGGTAGGGTATATGATCAGTTTGGTAGGGTGGTCAATCTCCTTCATTTCATCAGGGTACTTTGCTAGTATATCAGGGGGTAGATCATAGCTAATTTGTGATACGGTGTCTCAGATTGCCTGTTAGGGTAGGGTCCAAAAATCCGGGGGTGGGTGGTTTGGAGTTGGAGGCTACTACCGGAGGGCGGGAGCGGGATGCACGCGCAAGCGTGGAAAAGATGGCGAGTAGAGGACGAAAATGAAGGATAAGATGAAGACGAAGAAGATGAAATGTCGCAGAGTCTTGTTTGATCATCATACGAACATCTAGCTCATGACACTCATTCTTCTTGTCTATTGCTACTGCGTCTTGGTGGACTACCAATGTCGAAAGGATTGGGGGCTGTCTTTCACTCGTACGCCTTCGGGCTGCATGGTTGACCTTGCTCATGTTCTCCGATTAGAGAATCAGTTACAAATGCCTCTGAGTTGAAACCTAACCTTCTCTTCTCCTAGGTTCATGCGCTTGGCTCCTGCAAAGTGACTGTCGGCCAGCTCTTCAGGTATTGATCGAAACGAGGAGATCGATGCAGTACTTTGACACATGGTGGATCAAAAGGAAAGCTATTTGTACCGGAACATGTGCTGAGCGTTCTTCCACCTGCTGCTTCTAGCGTGCTGCAAGTTTATTTGCGGTTCCGGCACCTTGTCTCCTTGCGGGCAGAAACAAGCTCTTATTGAGAAGCAGCAAGGAGGATGAGCCGGAAACTTTCTCTGGCTGGTGAGTTGCCATCCTTCTGAAGGATTCAATCTGCATGGTTGTGATGATGATCTTGCGAAGGTTCAGCCAGCGTGTTTCTCGTCCTGATGATCCCTTTGGTCTGCGGAGATGCTGTCTCGACTTCGATCCATGCAGGTACGTCAGCGCTGAAGGTACCCAGCATGTCTTGACACTGTTCGTCAGCCACTCCTCCTACTCATTCGAAGAGGATGCCTGCAAGGGAAGTCTCGCACGTTGACGTGACTCAAGCTCCCCCTGTCGCCCCTGTCTCCTCCAGGAGGACCAGGGCTGGCGTGCCGATTTCCCGTGAAGTCTCCACCGTGGATGTCACACAACAGAACGCGGAGGATTTGAAGTTGCGAACGGGTCATGAGGCAAATCCACAGCAGTCGAAGTCTGATGATTGGCTCTCTGAGGTTAAGCTTTCTGCTCAACACCTTCCTGGTTCCCTCACTGTGGTTGGGTACAGCTTGGCGAGCTTGGCGATGTACTTGGGGTTGGATCGTTCAGTGTCGTGCATGCGGCAAAGAATTTGACGTCAGGACAGGTCGGGGATGTTCATTGTGAGAGGTTTCAGGTCTGAAGATCCTGGCAGATTCTAGCAGTGAAGATTGTGAGGATCCCGCACGACAATCCGATCTTTGTCAAGCGATTGAAGAGGGAGGTTTCAATCTTGCAAGAGATCGATCATCCGAACATTGTGAAGGTGTGCTAGTCTGCACTTCTTCTCCAGGATGTCTAATGTCCCTCATAGCTTGTTCGGGTTCACGAAACCCCCGACTGCTGTCGGATGGTAACAGAGAGATGCTTTGGAGGAGAATTGTTCAGCCTCCTGGAGGGTATTGAGTTTGAAGCTGATGGAGTGAGAAATTGGGTCTCACCAGGTATCTTTTGCATACCGTCGCTCGCCTTTCTGCGTACCTGACAACTTGAGCAGAAGGGAAAGTTATTCAGTTCACTGAAAGCTGCATTGTCGATATCGTGTATCAGGTGCTTTCTGCAGTAAAGGTACGGCCCTTTAGATCATGCACAGCCTAGCATACGCTGATGTCATTTACCTGCAGTACCTCCATGATAGAAAGATTGTTCATAGAGATCTCAAGTTGGAGAACGTTCTCCTTGTTGACGATTACAAAGAGGGAAGGTTGGACCGCTATTCATTCATTCTTCACACAGCCCTGTTATGTCACCCTTCTGCTTTTTTTTGTTGGACCCCATACCTATCTTTCCGATCTTGCGTGGTTTTTCTTGCATTTTTACTTTAATGCAGCTTTCCACTTGTCAAGGTCGTGGACTTCGGCTTTGCCAAGGTACCTGACCGATGATGTCGCTGGTGACTGTACGCGTGACACTGGCTCTCTAGGTCTTGAAAGAGGGTGAGACGCTCGTGTCTGCCTGTGGCTCCCCGCATTACGCGTCTCCTGAGGTATCCTTTGCAAAGACATACCGCACAGTCTGACGGTTGGCCCAGGTGGTCGGGGCAAAGAACACTGGGGTTGGGTATCGCTTTGAGTGCGACATGTGGGCAATGGGTAAGAGCGGAGGAGATGAGGGAGGAGGATGAGGAGAGTAGGGGTGATTTCGTGAACGAGCGCATGCTGTATCGAGGAAGCAGGGAGTAACGGAGAGTTTTGAAGAGAACATCATGAGCCGGAGAAGAGTGAGGAGGTTGACAAGGACTTGTGTATGAGACCTGAGGGAGAGGTCTGAGACAAATCGACTGTGATCGGAGGGCATGAGGCTATGTGGTAGAGACAAGGATTTGGGGAAGGTGCCATGCATGGAATAGTTAGACAGTGGGGAATTGTAGATAGTGCTGAGCAAATTTGAATGGATCAGTTTCGTGGCCGAAGGAGAGGAGTTGGGAAAAGGAGCTGAATGGAGTACAGGGGTCATCTGCTACACGCTTCTATGCTGTCAGTATCCTTTCGATGGCGACAGCGATGTGGACGTGATCAACCGCGTGCAGAAAGGTGAGGAAGCAAAAGATGGAAGGGCGGAGTTGGGAGGACGAAGTGTTGTGATGGGGAATGAGGCGTAGGGCCATGTTTGATCAAGCATGTTTGCAGGAGATTTTGAATTTCCTGATCACGTCAAGATCTCTCCTGAAGCAGAAGACTTTGTGCGGGTGAGATAGGAGAATTAGCTAGGGGGGATGAGGAGGGAGAGGAGGAAGAGGCTGATGGGCTCTGACTTCTTGAAAGGGGTTGGTTTGCGTCGACATCACGAAGAGAACCACAGCGAAGGAGGCTCTGAAGCATCCTTGGATTGTGTGAGTGTATAAGAAACGAGGAGAGAGAGGAGCGAGCACTGAAAAGAGGAAGAGGGTCGGGGGGAGGATGTGAGCGAGGATGATGGAAAGAGAGGGGTGAAGGGGACAAGAGGCAAAGGAGTTGATGTGACAGCTGCTCTCTGTCTCTTCTTGACTTGTGTTGCATGGCAGCAAGAACATCGAGAAGACTAAGATGGCTCTGTCGGGCATGACGGGGAACCCCAGCAGCTTCGGAAACCTCATAGGGCTGAGGAGCGGCGATGCCTGCGATGCCTCTAACGACTGACGGGCGTGAAAGTTTCTCGTTGCCTCGACTGACCGTCCTCGCCATGTCCTCACGTGTGAGAGTGTACGCCTCGCGCTTGAGGTCCAACAAACGTCCCAACCTGTGAGATAGGCTCATCTCCTTTGTGCTATACACACTTGTCAAGGCAGACATGTCAAATTGTGAATTCAGTTTGCTGTGAAGCATCGTGGGGTGGAAGATGCGCACGCTTGTTACATTTATCTCTATTCTGTTGTCTCATCGATTGTAAACAGGCAAAACTCATGTAATCCTTTACCCATCTCCTCATCCCCCTACAGGCTCGTATGTTTGTACCACATACCTCCTTCGAGCCATGTTCCTCCACCTCCTCCTCCCCTTCCTCCCCCTGCTCTTGCTCCTCCACAACTGACACCTCTCATCTTTCCTCTCGCAGCATTGAGGTGCTGCGGTACAGGATCTCTCGAGAAGCTTGGAAGTTCCCTTCCTTGAGCAGCTTCTGACCAAACCTCCTCAGCGCAATGGAAGCAGCTCTTGTATCCTTCATCCTTTCCTGCTCCTCCTCCTCCTCCTCCTCCTCCTGCTCATCCACCCCCTGCTCCTCCTCCTGCTCCTCCTTCCTCTCTTCCTCCTGCTCATCCAATCCCCACGCAATACGCAGGTCGCTTTTCATCCTATGGCTGTTCTTGAGCTCCTTGTCATCGCTCTTGCTGATGACGGAGGGGACCAGGACCTGTATTTCACTCGATCGGACCTCCTCCTCCTCCTCCTGCTCCTCCTGCTCCTCCTTCCCCTCCTCCGTCCCCTCCTCCGTCCCCTCCTCTCTTGGGCTCCTCAACATGAGCGTCTCTTCGCTGGTCTTCAACGCCCCCCTCGCAATCAATGCATTGCCTTCTCTTAAAGACGGCCTGGTCCTCAAGATCGAGGGATACGATGTAGCGGGAGAGTAAAGAGAGTTAGGAGAGGAGGGAGAAGAAGCTTCTTCACGGTGTGCCCTGCGAGATCATCTCAACTCTCCAAGGAGCATCTCGCAGCAGGCTCAACCTGGGATGCCACTCGTCCACAAGGGCCTCGTGTTTCCTCAACGTCTCACTGCTCCTCAACAGGTTCCTGCAGCGTGTCAGTTATGGGCTGCTGGCTCCAGCAGAGACTGGAGCTGACGGTGCTGTACTGGATATCTTACCTCATGTTCCCTGCCGTGGGGAGTTTGCGGAGGTGGAGCCTTGTCGTTGGGTCGACATGCTTGCCGCTGTCTGCGAGATCTATGAAGGGGATGAAGATGGCTGAAGGTACTGACGGGCTGAGACTTGATCACTTGCATGCAAGGGAGAGAGGGAAGGGGGGAAGAGAGGGAGAGGAGGAGGCAGAGAGGGAGTGGATGGAGTGTAGGGGATACCGCAGAGGGGATGGTTGACTGGCTCGTACTCCACTTGCTACCCTCCTCGTCCTCGATGCCAACACCCTACCGGCTTCTCGCTCTTCTCCTCTCCGACTGCTGGTGCTGGTGCTGGGCTTGTGCGTTGTTTTCGTCTCCTTTGACCTCCATGCTGAGGGCCTTCCTGCCTGGTCGCCTCCCCCCTCATACCCAGGAGGCCTGTCGTCTTGGAGGACAGCATGCTGCATGTTCCATGAGCGAGAGATGCTTCGCAGCGCAGAGCTCGGCTTCGTCTCCCTCCCTGCATGCAGGTCAGCGAGGACCCAACGGAACCTCCCTGACCTCGCACGGCGATGCTGTCTCGAACCGTGATCCATGCTGCTCCTCGATCGTACAGCTTGGAGACGACGAAAGTGTTCCCGTACAGCGACTTCTCAACGTGCTCCTTGTCGTATGCTCGTTCTATCATTCTGTTTGCTGACTTCATGGTCGAGGAAAGCTGAGCCAGTGAGGGTGACTGATTACTGTTATGAAACTCTTACGTTCGGAGAGTTCACTTGCCAGCCTGACCTCTTCGTTTCCTTTGACTCGACTTCATTCCATCTCATTCAGTCTCTGCTTCCTGCTTCCTGCTTCCTGCTTCCTACCTTACCTCTTTCGTATTCGCCTCTTCCTCCTTTCTCCGCACCATGACAATTAACGGACTGCAGCTAAATGACTTTTATATTTCCCAATTTTTTCATATACTATCTTTATTTTTGAAATATAATCAACAAAATTGAAGAAATTGTGAAATTGTAACTAAGAATACTAGTGGGGCTAGCTGGAAGGTTCTGCCCCACGAGAGTCGCTGTAGGTTCCACCACCCCCATTCTAACACGTATGAGAGGGGGTAGAGGGGTGATGGGGTAGGGGTGGTGGGGCTGGCGGTCAAGATGGCGGGAAATGGACCAGAGTAGGAAGATGGGGAGGGGAGGAGAAGGAGGAGGAGGAGGAGGAGGAGGAAGAGATGACAACGATGAGACAGAGGACGAGATGAGAAGAGGGAAACAGCGGGAGAGAAGTGGCTCTTGTTAGCAAGCGCCTTCCTTTATCAATTGGAAGGAGGGGGCAGAGGAAATTCGCCAAATCAGACAGGCACCCATCATCACTTTCCTTTGCCTTGTTGTTGTATCTGCTCGGTGCTCAACAAAGCTTGCATTCTTAGTTATGTGATTCATGATGCTTCAACATGCTCAAATTAATCGGCAGACACTTTGGATGTAAAATCCGCCATGTGATGGAAAATGCGAATCGTTGGTTACTGATTAGATTGCTCTGCAACAACTGAGACCATGACTTAGCTCGCGCAGTTTCAAATCTGTGTGCTTTACCTTATCTCATGTGTTTGGTCTGAATCTCACTTCTCATTGCTTCTGCCCTGCTGTGTTACATCTTCCGCCCAAAATGTTGTTTCTTGTTTTCATGCATGCGCTAGGTCAACCTAGTCGGGCCCTGGGTTGCGTCAAAGGACTGCACAATATGTGCAGATCTAAATGACCAAGTTCGCTGTACGCCAAACCGAACTGCACATGCAGGGCATCAAAGACGAAACGAATGAAACGTAAATGTTTCTCTCGCTTGTTTTCTCTTCAATCTCATGATGTCTCGACTCTTCTTACCCATGTGCTCAGGGTGTTTCAAACATCTCAAGATGTCCTGGATGTGGCTCGACAGAGATGGTCTCTGTCCCATCTCCTCCTCTTGCGTTGTTGGTGAAGCTTCGCACTCATGCTCGTCGCATGCAGGCTGAAGAACCGCGAAGTCCTCTATGTGTTGATGAACCATCAGTCGTTGGAGCTGGAGTTTGCGAAAGAAGTTGTTTGTCCTCCTAGCAGTGGACTGTTGGTGCTCTACGACAAGAACATTGTAAAGCGATTCCGTCGAGATGAGCATGGTGAGTGAAGGAGGAGCGGTACAGGAATCTCTCCATCCAAGGCGATGGAGGAGGAAGATGGGACGAGGTTGTGGGTATGTGATGGGGGCAGAGAGACGAGGAGGGAAGGAGGGCGGAGGGTGGACCTGTCGATCATTGATGTAAACGAGATCGATCACGATGGCCTGGGAAAGGGTGTTTCTCGAGCTCATGTAGGAAGTACGAGGATAAACTAATGAAGTTTTGACAGATTGGAAGAAGAAGAAGGACGGTAAAGCTGTTCGGGAGGATCATGAAAAGTTAAAGATCGATGGAGTGGAGAGGTGTGGCATAAACTGAGACGTCGCTTGTCTTATGTGTTGTTGTTTTTGGTGTTGGTATTAGTGTCGGTGTTTGGTGTTGGTGTTTGGTGACATTGATGACAATGTTTCCCCCCTTGGCTGCGACTTTTCTTCATGTCTATGTGGGGACAGGCAGTTTTATTGGTGCGATATGACGATGTGATGCTGATGGTGCAGGTTGACATGCTGCTATGCTCACTCAAAAGAAATCCCAACCTTCCATCGTCGGATCTATTGGCTCCTCCCTCAGCAGGATGCGAAGGCTGCGGGTTCCTCGCCTTTTGAGGAGGTTTTCTTTCTTCCTCCTCATCTGCATGCCTGCTCGCGCTCATTGACTGCTCTCCTCCCCCCCCCCCCCCCCTCGCCTCCCCCCCCCATCCTCTTTTCTTCTTTGTTTCACCCCTCCATTCACCCCTGCCCCCTCCCTTCCTCTCCAGCTTTCCTCTCCGTTGGACACTCTTGTCTTTGTGTCTTCTTGGCACTTCAACTCTCTGTCCCAACTTGCCTCCTCCCACTATCTTGCTCGCCATACATCCCCATCCTCCTCATCCCCCATTCTGTTCTCACTTCCCTCTCAGGGTAGGCAAGTGCTCGTGCACTACTTGGACGAGCGCTGTATCCTTGGGGATACTCCAGCTTCCATAGGCAAGAGTCAATCCATGTAAGAGGAGGAAGGAGGAGAGCGATCCAGCCGAGCTGACATCCAGCAGGAAATCGATGACGAAGAGGAGCCGAGCTGAGAAGGCCCTGGACCTGGTAACGATCATCTATCTGCCCACTTGGATCGCCTTCCATCTCCTGCTCCTCTCCTCCTCTCTCACCAACCACTGTTGCTTCCTCCCTTCCTGTCCTCCACTCTCACGCTCTCTCCTCTTGTCCCCCCCCTGCTCCCTTCCCCCTCCCTCCGTCCCCCTCTCTGTGCCCCCCTATGTGTCTCCTCTCCATTCCTGTCCTCTCTTCACCTCTCCTCTCCTCTCCTCTCCTCCTCTGCTCTGCTCTGCTCTGCTCTGCTCTGTTTTGCATTCCTCACCTCACCTCTCCTTTCCTCCTTTCCTCCTCACCTCACCTCACCTCACCTCACCTCTCCTTTTCTCCTCACCTCTCCTCACCTCTCCTCTCCTCTCCTCTCCTCTCCTCGCCTCTCTTTGTCTTGTCACCTGCTCTCTCCATGACTATCATGCATCAGAGGGGCGAGCTCTCAGCTGGTCGAGGAGCGCGAGGTGGCGTATACCTCTCCCTCCTCTCATCCTCTGACCGTCGAGCAGCTGCTGTGGGCACGAAGAAGAAAGCTTGGGCCCAGATTCTTGCCAGCTCAACTAAGCCTTGCTATAACGATCATGATGTATCTCATTTTCTTTTCTCTGCTCCTCTCTCTCCTCTCGTCTCCTTTGTCCTCCTCTCTCCTTTGCTCTACGTTTCTCTTCTCCCCCCTCTCCTTTGCGCTCTTTCTTTCTCATCTGCCTTTCTTCTCAGCTCTAAACCTAATACAGACGGATTCCAACGGGCGGGCTAGGCAGTCGAGCCTGACACGACTGCTTGAGGGGACTCCGAGGGTCAAGGAGGAGGCGGCACAAGAGCATGTGGCTGGGTCACTCCTGACCAAGGATCTGGCTCCTCATCATCCGGTGATCTCCCTATCGGTCCATGTGGGCCTTCAGACTCTCTGACTGGTCCTCTGCTGCAGCGGGAAGAGCCGTTTCCTTGCGGGCCGGAAGGGGCGAATCGGGAAGACGCTTGGAAGCATCTAGCCCAACAGGTGAAGGAGAATCGTCAGTTTGAGCTGAAGGAGCTGTTCTGTGCTTGTTTCCTTCTACCGACTCTCTTGCTCCTGTTTCCTCCTCCTCCTCCTCCTCCTTCTCCGTGTTCCTACATCCTGTTCTTCCATCCTGTTGCTCCTTCTCAGTCACCTCCACCCGGTCCTTCCTTCGTTCTTCATGCTTGTCTTGCCCAGCTGTTTGTCATGTCCTCTTGGCTCTCACGGTCTTGACCCCTTCTGGTTCTTCAGGTTGTGTCCGCAGGTGCTTCAAGTGCTGCAGAGGAGGTGTCAAACTGGCACGACCTGATCGTCAGCTCCAACTATCATGTAACTTCTCTCTTCTACTCCGCTCCCCCCGCCTTGTGTTCCTGCTCGCCCTGCTGCTGATTGCCCCCAGAGCCTCCTCCAATCCTCAAATCTCCGGCTCCATATCTTTGCATCACATTATTCCGTCTCTCTCCCGTCTTTCTCTCTTCCTCTTCGTTTCCTTCTACGTTTCCATCTCCTCCAAGTACATCCCGTCCTCAAGCTCCTTCCGTCTTCCCTCTGCTCCCTCCTCTGCATCCCCTCACCTCACGCACGTGGACTGTAGGGTGAAGCAGCTGGAGAGGGCGAGCAGCATGACGACGAGCATGCTCCGGTCTGGCACAGCCTTGTGGACAAGGCGCTGCAGCAAGAGACGTCAAACTACGTCTGCATGCAGTGGCAGCAGCTGACAGAGAAAGCTCAGTGCTCGCACTCTTCCCATCCCTCTCATCTCTCGCACTCCTCCCATACCGGGAGCCTCTATCCCTTCTGGGAATCCTTCACCGAGAGGATCTCTCAGACGGCGCAGAACCTCCATGACGTAAGTGCTGCTCTCCTCTCTCCTCTCCTCTCCTCTCCTCTCCTCTCCTCTCCTCTCCTCTCCTCTCCTCTCCTCTCCTCTCCTCCTCCTCTCCTCTCCTTTTCTCCTCTCTTCTCCTCGTCCTGCTCTCCTGCTCTCCTGCTCTCCTGTTTGCTCTCTTCTCACTTTCCTTCAGCATCTTGAGCCGGATCCTTTACTTCACCTGCATGGCGAGGCCATAGACTGTCACCGCATGCCCTGGACGACGACTACATGATTCAGGCATCCCCTTCCTCCTTCCTCTCTCCCCTTCCCTCTCTCCTCTCGCAGCATATTGTCTTCTCCCATGTGTCCCTCTCCCGTCTCCACCTCCCTTCCCCTGTCTCCTCTTTCTCCTTCTTGACCACCTTCGCTCCATCGTCACTAATCTCAGCACAACCCCTTCTCTCTTCTCTCCTTCCAAGCACGTCTTTATTCACTCCTATCATACTTCCGCTTTTCTTCCCACAATCCCCTCCCTCAACCACCCTTCTCCCCTATGACCTTCCTTCCACCTTTCCCTTCTTCTTCACCTGCTGCTTCTGACACATAGCAGGAGGACGCGGACATCTCTGCTCTGCTCGCTCCTTCCGATCACCAGGACATCCTCGGTCCGCAGCCCTTCCACTGCTGTGAGACGAACCAGGGAGAGGAGGAGCCCCTTTCCTCCCTCCCCGACCTCCCCGACGCTCTCGCGGGGCAGCAGAGGGTCGGCAAACATCCTCCTGGTCCTATTGAAGCTGCTTCCAACCATCATGACCTCGAGTCCAACCAGCTCCGGTTCCTGCCCTTGCTCCTGCTTCCTGCCCCTGCTTCCTGCCCCTGCCCCTGCCCCTGCCCCTGCCCCTGCCCCTGCCCCTGCCCCTGCCCCTGCTTCTTCTCCTGCTCTTGCCGAAGTCTCTTCCCCTGCTCTTGCTCTTGCTCCCTTTCTCCGACTGTCTACCTTCTCGCCTTCCCTCTTCTTTCCTCCTCCCCTCCTTGCTGCCTTCCCTCACTGTCTTGATGGCGAGCTGAAATCCTCGCAGGCATCTGCGGGACTGGGAGAGGATGCTTGCGTGTCATGAGATCCAGCAGCAGCAGACCAGCATGGACATCGGCAGGGCGTTCGATGCGCTGCAGGAGAGCGCAGCAGCTTCCTGCCAGGTTTACGAGCAGTGGCACAGCATGGTGACGCAGGTAGGATGTCTGGAGCGGGAAGGAGGAGGACGGGAGCAGTGTGAGAAGGGATGGAGGAAGTTGAGGGGGATGAAGATGAAGATGATGGAAGGAGTATGAACGTGTAAGATGAAGAAAGAGCAGGATTGGGAGGGGAAAGACAGAGGAGGGAGGAGGGTAGAGGAAAGACGGAGGGAGGAAGAGGATGAGGAGTGGGAAGAAAGAGGAGAGGAAGTGAAGCGGAAAAACGAGGAAGGAGAAGAAGGGGCAAGGAGAAGAAGGGGAGAGGAGAAGAAGGGGAGAGGAGAAGTGGGTCAGAGTGAGGAGAAGAAGGAGGAGTAAGCGTGCAAGCAGGTGAAGAACAAGAGACACGAGGACGAAGTGCACATGCAGGACGGCAGCGACGGGGAGATGGTGGTGCCCACGTTGGGGAAGGTGACGGACGAGCTGGGATACGTGCTTGACGAAGACATGATGCTGAATTGAATGAATACGAACAAGATAGATTTAGCTGGAGCCCTGCTGGAGGCTGTTGATGTGCTTGTCAAACTTGGCAGTTGACGTGCTTGTTAGACTTGACGGATGCTGGCATGCATCATCGCCTTCACCCACTTCTTGTCAAAAGCCAAGTCGTCGCCTGTTGTCACCATAAGGCTGCGCGTCCTTGAAAGTGGTAGAGGAGGCTTGCGGAGGGGCAGCAAGAATGAGGGAGGAGGAGGAAGAGAGGGAAGCAGGAGGGTTGCGGAGGAAAGAGGACGGGGTTGGGGAAAGCAAGAAGGAGGAAGGGTGAGCAAGGGATAGGGGGAGGAAGGGATAAGAAAGGGGAGGAGGGAAGGGATTTCGGGTTTGGAAAGCTGGGGGAAGGGAGGGGGCGATGGAAGCGGAGGAGGAACAGGAGGAGGAGGAGGACCATCTAGGACGGTGACGTGATAGAGCGAGTGGAAGCGAAGGATCTTGTCCGGATAGCTCCCCCAATTCCTGCTGGAAACTCACACCCGAGCTGGGATCGTGCTGGGAAGTTGCTGACCTCTGGATCTCTTCTTTGGTGATGATTCCCTGCATCGAAGTTCGCACGACTGTGGTGTTCTGAGCGGGAACCTGCAGGAGGTCAGGAGGAGAGGCGGCAAAAGAGGAAGGAGGGGAGGAGACGAGACCGCGGGACGAGTAAAGCAGGGGAGGGGAGGGGAGGGGAGGGGAGGGGAGGAGAGAAGAGGAGAGGGAGGGGAGGGGAGGAGACGAGGGAGGGAGACGAGGGGAGGAGACGAGGGGAGGAGGACGGAGGGAGGGAGGAGGGAGGAGAGGTGAAGAGGGCACGCAGGTAGACACCAGGGGAGACTGAGAAGCGGAGGGAGCAGGGAGCGGGTCCTAGCCAAGGGGAGCCCGGAGAGGTGTGAGCAGAGGAAGAGGAGAGAGGAAGGGGAATGAACAGCTGGCGAGGAATCTGGATGGGTTTACCTCGTCTTGGAACTTATTTCCCCAGGTGGGAACTTGTTGGACTATAGAACCAAGTCAAAGACCCTTTCTTCCCCCCTCCTCCTGCTCCTGCTCCTGCTCCTGCTCCTGCTCCTGCTCCTGCTCCTGCTCCTGCTCCTGCTCCTGCTCCTGCTCCTGCTCCTGCTGCTCCTGCTCCTGCTCTCCTCCTTCCTCCCCCTCACATCTTGCTGCGATGTAGAAGGCTCTCTCAGGGCTGGGCTGTATGGAGTTCAGACCTGACACCGAAAGCCTGCATGGCAGTCAACCAGTTGAACATTCCTCCCGCCCTAGCTCCCTCCTCCTGCCCTCCACACGACTCCTGTCTCCTCTCTGTTACTTCCCTTCCTTGCACCCTCGCTCCCTTCCTCTTCCCCCTTACAGCCTTTGTCCCGATCCCCAAAACCCGTCCCATGGACCCTCCCTCCTCTTTCCACTTCCTTTCACTTCTCACCATCCCTACCAAAATTCATTCCTCTGCTGCTGCTGTTCCTCCTCCTCCTCTCCCTTGCCTCCTCCTCCTCCTCCTCCT